ATCTCACTGCGATAGAGAGAAAAATCAAGTAGGGTTTCAATGGGTATCAACATTTCTAGCTATAAACTTAGGGGTCATAGCACAACTAAGGTGAGTGGGTAGGTGAAAAGTGGAAACAAAGAAGAAACAAAATAATACTTGAAACATCCAACATACACTAGGGTGGAAAGTCTAATTTATGAGCCAAAAAGACCAGTCTTACTAATCAACAACCCGTTTTATCTAATTCAATGATATTTTCAATTTGATGAAATAATTAGGTAGGCTAAGGGGTTGGTTCGCATTTCAACTAGTCAGAGCAGCTTGGCCAGTCTTGATAGATTTCCTTTTAATGCAAACATGACCTAATTTTATTTGATTATTGACGAGTGTAAGCAGGACCTGAGCTACAGGCCAGGGGTGACTAACTCTCACCTTCATTACTTGATATTGCTGTTTGGATTATTCAAATTTAGAAATTAAAGGGTTTCAAATTTTAAAGTTAGAGACATGTAGCACTACTAATGTAGTTGCTATCTATTCAAGCCCAAGCCTGATTCCTTGGAGAGTGAAAACCTCAATGAATACATTACATCATAAGTCAGTATGTTTGGCAGAATAGAATTTCAATATTTAGATAGTCAAAAATTCCAATAAGGGCATTACTAGCCTTTTACTTTATGAACTATATATTATCTTGATTTATATTATTTGGAGCCTGTTTGACTATCTCTTTATGGCATTTCTTCAAGCACATTGTAAGCACAGAGCAGACTAGTGCTCCAATGAATCCTAGTGTTTTGAATGAACATATCCAACAACCCAAAACTCATCTCGTTAGAGATAAAGTATCCAACTAAAGAATATAATAAAAACGTAAAATTAAAAAAAAATAAAAAATAGAGTATAAAATAGATCAGAAAATAGAATTAGAGTGGGATGCCAATGGAGAAAAATTAGGTATCAACGAACAATAAATCTTCAATATTATTTCCATTTCCTTATTTTGCTTAATAGTAAAAACCCAAAAACTCACTTGCTTTTTACTATATAAAAAAACCCATTAACCATTGCAGTTCATCTCTCATGGTAAGCTCTCTCTCGACCCAATCAACCACAAAGATATTGCTACTCATAAATGTGAGGAAAAAAAAGGATTCCAGAGAATGCTAAGAGCGATTGATGAGAAGTGTCCTCCAAAATGACAGTAACTAAAGAGCCCCGCTTTGATATATAAGGCCTTCATCTTGATATTTGAAGATACAATTTTGACCTATCAAACGTGTATTTTCTCTTTCCATATATTCAAACTCTTTTGAATCACTTAAAATTTTGAAATATTCAGATAGTTGAATGCAATCAAACGCAATCAAACCATGGGAAAGGTTTCTATGCTTCCCCAAAATCTATCCTCTCCAAACCATCCAATTTTGGTCATGCGAGCTATTCGTCGTTTGATTTTAGATCCGACGTATTAACGTATTTTATTTTTAATTTTTTATATAAATAATATGAATATGAAATTTGGTAATTTCATTAGGGCATACCTATAAAAAATATTGAAAATAAATTTTTTATAAAATATATTGGCTCTTTAAAACTTTGAAAGGTATTTTGGTTTTCAAAAAGTATTTTGGTCATTTTATTTTATTGAAAATAATTTTTTTATATTTTTCATTAATACGAATTTAATAGAGGAATAGGCAATCAAAATTTAGTGTCAAAATAATTTATATAAAGAAATAAAAAATAAAATAGTGTAGAGAAATAATATTGTGATTGGGATAATCTTAATCTTCTATTCGGAATGAAAGGTTGGATAAAACTTCTATTCCGTAAAAAAAACATAGAAAGCTTGCCCATCAAACATAGCGTCAAGTAATATCATTTATTAGAAAAAAAAAAAAAAAAGAAGATTATCTCTAAACGTTTAGATGCGACAGTTACGGCTTTGTCCACTCTCTCCATCTTTTCGGAGAAAGTCTTTCTTTCCTGCCATCTCTCACAAACAAGGAGTATCTTTCCCGATCTTTAATATTCCACCATCCTCTAATACAATCGCATGTATCACGCTGACTCAAAACCCTAATGTCAAACTTCTCCAGATCTTCATTTTTTTTTAATGTCAAACTTCTCCAGATCTTCATTGATTTTTAATGTCAAACTTCTCAAATCATTGAGATGCTCGATTATGAAAATCACCAACATGTTATAAATGTATTCCTATAAAACTTCCGCTAATTAGTAACATAACTTTTCCCTATATCTTTTGCTAATGGACACAGTTAGCATGCGGTTAAGTCCACATGTATAAATGCGGGCTTGACAATAAATATATTTATTAAATATAGTTTGATCCTAATTTTTATATTTAACATGAATATCATGATTATATTAAAAAACATTGGACCGTTAGTTACAATTGTTTTTTAGATGGACCACCTATTTAATTTTTAGATGGACCACCTATTTACATCTATTTTTAAAATGGACGCCTTATACGTCTGCAGTGCATATTGTACAAATGCCGTCCAGCCCGCATGAAACAATTCCTTACTAATATGTTGCTCTTATTTAATTGAAACTCCACATTTACCTGCTCTTGTATATGCCTGATTCATTTGGTGTTCAGTTTTCGAGCGACGACTTAGCGGCTCACAAAAGGGAAATAAGTTGAATCACAATCAAACAAAACACAACCAGGAGCTGTGCATGAAGGAAATAATTGTTTTATCATCAAAATGCTATAATTTGAAGTTTAAACCAATGTTTTAGGAATTAGACTTGGTCACCCATAGGGGTGGCCTAGCCTAACCAGGCTTGGGCTTGAGCCAAGACATAGCAAGCCTAGTTCGGGCGAACTAGCCCTGCTTAATATGGCCAAGACCGGGCTTAGGCCAAGGCATCTTTAGCCTTGTCAGGACTGGGCTAGGCCTAGGCCGGCCTTATGGAATCAAGGCTGGGTTAGGGTCAAGGCTGGCGTAAACTGTTATAGCCCTATGCCCAATGATCGGGTTAGAATTGCCTAGTAGGCTTGTCACTCTCTATGGTTATTGTGTTAGAAAATAAAAAAGTAGAATGAGGACAGTAGTCCGAGTCCCTTCCAAGGAAAGCAGGACTTTAGCTAAATAAGTTAAGGGTAGGAAAAACTAGGCGGTTCAAATTCAGACCTCTCGGTTGAATCGGAATCGGCCACTTGTCTGTTCTGGTTTCGATCGGTTTTGGTGAACCGACTGGTCTCAAAAAATAAGGGATTTTATTTGTAATGTACTTTTTAATGCTTTTCATCATTTTGGCAAAGATTGGAAATTGTTTTGGCCATTAATACTTATTTTTACATTTTTCTATCTTTTTAAAAAAAATTCAAAAATAACCCTGGGCACAAATTGATTCTTAAAATCCATTTATTTAATTAATTTTCAATTTCATTTGGATGTGTTTTGTTTAATCATGCTTTAAATATACTTATCATATTTTATTAGTTTTTTTGTTTTTTAATTCTTTTTAACACTTTTTTTGCTGTCTAGGACATGTCCAGTTAAGTCGGTTAGATCAGCCGGTTTACGGGTTAGTATCGAGTAAATGTTTCTAGCCCTATGTTCAGTTAACCATTCCTATTCGACTTTTCCATTCAAAATTCACATGCATTAAAAGCTGAGGCCCACTACCCTCGAGACCATTCCAAACTGGGCATGATAGCTCGACGGTCGCTAACTCGGGCAATTTCAAACAGGCTCGGGCAGTTTTAAACATTAATATAACTGCCAGCCCCGATTTTGAAAAGAAAATCTCTCTTTCCCAAGTTGAAGGTCGATATGACGGTGGTGTAACATTATTCTAAACAGAGTATTGTTTGTCGAGATGTTGGTGTTTTAATATTTCCAAATGTCATTCTTTAACCAACTGAATGTGATTTTGCATTAAACAAATATAGCCTCCAACTCTATTGCCCTTAAAACTTGCCTCCAAATCGGCACAAGAAGTTTCAAGGAAACAAATCATAAACCTTGTCAACATTACAATTGCCAACTATTGTTGCCAAAAGAAATCAATCTTATCAAACTATATAGGGCTGGCAATGAGTCATATGGGCCGGTCCTAAAAAACTTGGGCCGGTACTAAAAAACTAAGGCTTAGGCTCCAAAATGCGGCACAAGGGCTCGATTAGGACTGGGCAACCATTGTCGAAAGACAAAGCCCGGCTGCGCTTGAACCAAACCTACAAGGCTGGCCCAGTTCAGCTTAGCCCGCAGAGCTCAGGCCTGACCTACAATGACTAAGGCCAAGCCCGGTGGTTAGTCTACATTAGTTTATTGGTTCATTATATAGAGAAAAAAAGAATCAACTTAGTGAGTTTCCCATTAAACGACAAATCGCTTTTAGTATGGAAAAAGTTTACATGTGAGGCACTAAACAATCAAATTAAGATGCACTTCAAAAATTTCACTAGAGGAAGTTGTTTTGATGCTCAAAAATTTTCAAACTAATCATCTCTACCTCAAGATGCATAGACATAAGAAAAAATGGATTTCAAATATTGGAGATAGTGCTTCTTCTAATGTATTTTTTAACCGTCAATTTTCAAGATTTACAAGTGTTTTATAAATCTGTTCAATCTACACAAATTTTGAAGCTTCAAATTTTATAATTAAAGATGAAAATAAATTTTCAGGCCATCACAAATATTTCTAATATTGAAACAACATCTTTCAACACCATTTGAAAGTGCGTCGTACTTTGATTGTTTAGGGCCTCAGCCTTATACAAAACACACCCTTTTAGTATTGGCCTTTTATGTTTTGTACATCACCAAATTCAAGTCCATATGGCCTAAACAAGCAGGCCGACAAGCGGTTTCCTTCATTAAAAGATATCCAAACGCGTTTTTACATCTGATTATAAAACGACCCAAGATGTTCAGTCTGTGACCCATTACCGTTACAGCTAAGCCCTAAGCTGCCCTAAAATCTTATAAATACGTTGCATAACTTCACCACCTCGATAACCATTACAACGTACTTTCCATTGTCCTAAAATTGAAGTCTCCCTCTTGCCAGTTTCTTTTGTTTCTAGGGCTTCCTTCCATGGATTTACAATTGTTCCTTCTGCCTTTTTTCTTTCTGTCTCTTGTCAATGCTCAGCTGCGCTTCAACTTCTACAACTCGACATGTCCAAATGCCGAATCCATTATAAAATCTGCGGTCACAAACCGCTCTAACACCGATCCATCTATCACTGCGGCCCTCCTCCGCATGCATTTCCACGACTGTTTTGTTAGAGTAAGTATAATTTATGGAAACCCTAGTGTGTATTCTCTTTCTCTCTCCTATTAGAATGTTAGGTGCCAAGTCATGAGCTAACCTATAATCCAACACAATGAACGGGAATTTAAAAGCACGTTGTTATGCTTGAGAATATTTTCATATAGAAAACTTCTCTCGTGTGGTCAAGTGTGAGAATATTTTTATATCAATTGGTGTTAGTGCATCTTTTTGCATCAATTGCCAACTAATTGATATAAAAATATTTCCTCCCTAGACCACATGAGAGAACCTTTTTATGTAAAAATGTTTTATAAAAAACATTTTCAAACCAAATGTATTATAAGACTATCTTTTCAGCCATCTTCACTCACATTTACATTTTCCTTTTTCCTCTGTCTTTCTCTCTCTCTCCAGGGCTGCGACGCCTCGATCCTCATTGACTCAACCACCAAACACAAATCTGAGAAGGATGCAGGCGCAAACCAATCGGTGCGAGGCTTTGAGCTCATCGACGAGGTCAAGACTGCCCTTGAGAAGGAATGCTCAAACATTGTCTCCTGTGCTGACATCGTCACCATCGCCACCCGTGATGCCATCGCCCTCTCAGGTGGGCCCGCCTATGCGGTTCCCACAGGACGAAGGGATGGCCGGACGTCAAACCCTAATGAAGTCAACCTTCCAGGTCCCACCCTCTCAGTGCTTCAAGCCTTCTCTTTCTTCCAAGCCAAAGGCTTCACTCTCAAAGAGATGGTCACTCTTTTAGGTGCACACACAGTTGGGGTGGCTCACTGTTTGTTTTTTCGAGATAGGCTCTTTAATTTTCGGGGAACTCAAAAACCAGACCCATCAATGGACCCAGACTTAGTCTCTAAGCTCCAAAGGCAATGTGGCAGAAACAACTTGCCAATTGCTACAGACCCAACTGCTTTTCTTGATCAAAACACAAATTCTACAGTGGATAATGAGTTCTATAACCAGGTTTTGAAGGGAAAGGGAATTTTGCTTATAGACCATAACCTTGGGGCTGACAACTCTACAGTGGGGTTTGTGAAGCAATTTGGGGGAGATGCAAATGGGTTTTTGCAGGACTTTAAAGCTGTAATGGTGAAGATGGGCAGTTTGAATGTTTTGGTGGGGAATGCAGGGGAGATAAGGAAGAACTGTAGGGTTTTCAATGCAACCCCTAAACCTAGTAAGGGGAAGTAAGGGATTGGAAATCCAGAGAAAGAAAGCGAGGTGCATTTTGTTTGGCACAAGTACTTTGTTAGGGTGCGTGTTTTGCAGTGAGTTTGTTTGATTTAGGATTGTGGGAGTAAGGCCTGCAACTGCATTTATTAATAATGTATTTATCTCAACTAAGTGTTCGGGATTATTGTATTAATTCACATTTACCTTAACTGGAGATGCGGTAACCATGTAGTAGATATGTTCATTTGGATGCTTTTCAATATATTTTGACTTCATATTTTTTTATCTTGATTTTTCTCAGTATATAAAATTTAACCAACCTTGATATTAATTTTGTTTTTTCATGGGAATGATAAATAAATATTGTACAAAAAATAATTTTTTTCATGGGCAGAAAGAGGAAATGAACAAATGTAATCACAAATCACAAATAAAGAAAGCTTTATACCAATTCCATTATATAGTACATTTTAAAGATAAGGAAAATTTACAAAAATAGCCATAAGAGATGAATTATATAGTACTTAACTCTTTTCCAATCATTTTAAGTCATAATCATGTATCTTTTGATGGGTATTTCGAAATAAAATCAAAAGATATGGGTAAAACGTTACATAGTTTATCTCTTATGAGTTATTGGATGAATTTCCCTAAAGATAATGATCCCAAATTATCATATTATGGACTACAAAACATAATAATCCAAAGTGTTGGCAAATAACATAATAATCCAAAGTGTTGGCAAATTTGATTGTTAGCCATAAAAGAGAAACGTGGAAAACACAATTATAACTAATCATATCTTTGTGTGCTAATTTATGCTCAACGTTGAGTACAATAGTCATCCCAAAGTACAGTACCAATGTAATCTTTGCAATTCATTACCATCATTTTTATCGGCCGGAGTGATTACATTATTATATCGATTTGATCTCAAATTATTTGTTTATTCAATTGATTCAAGTTCAAGATCCCTGTCATACTCCTTATACAGCAAATCATCACCACAAGTTATAGTTCGGGTATGATTATATACATTACAAACATGATGCTGCCACTTTCTGGAGGAACCATTTCTTCAGCACACCAAAGGTATGTTCTATAACATTCCGAAGAGATGAATGCTGATGGTTGAAGAGACCATTTGCATTTCATGGATCTAAATTTTCCAACTATAAGCCTTCAAATGATACCTCGCAGCTCTAAATAGAGCTATGAACTATGAAGTCGGCATTAACGAGATAGTATTTATCTGAATGGAAATAAATGTCAAGTTTTATTACATAATCTAAAAAAGATAATACTTTTGAAATGGATAATAACTATGACATTTAACAACATTGAAATGAAATTTAAATATATCAACAAAAAATGTCACTTTTAAAGGTAGGGAAAAGAACATTGACATTTGGGAACCTTGAAACCAAATTTTGGTGCCACTTTTAACACAAAGGGCATATTTTGTTGGTAATGAAAGTATTTCCTGAGAAATATTTTCATAGTTTGGTAAGGGAAGAAAGCATATGAAAATGATACTCATAGTAAAATATTTTACCATAAAGTGGTTTACTTTTCATGAAAACAAAACCACACCTCAACCCTTGGGGAGGCTTTTCGAGGGGTTTTATTTCACGTGCTGATCTACTTTTTACTATTCACGTTTTGCAATATAATATATTTATTATATTATATAATATTTTACTTATATATTAAATAATTTATACAATATATAAATTATATTTAAATAATATTCAATATATAATATACAGATAATATTGTATATTAAAAGATACATTAATTTATATTTTACTATATTTATAATATTTTATAATATATTAATATAATATAGTAAATGTTTTCTAAAAATAATTTTTTGAATTTTAAAATTACTAACACACATGGGGGCCCACTATACTCTAATTTAGAACATGTGTAGAAATGCGTAGGACCCAGTAGAGCTCCATGGGTTGCACGCCCTACATAGTGCAACCTTCTTTCTTATTTTGTGGCATTCTTGTTGGCCACTCAATAATGGAAATGAAAAAGGAAGGTTTTTTTAAATGAAATCTATTTTGACTTTTCTAAGAGAGAATAAATGGAAATAAAAAGAAAGAGAACTAGGTTTTCCTTGTATTAAATATTGGACGGTATTAGGTGAAGAAAACTGAAGGAGAAAGTTCTAACACCTTCCATTTGATCATGATGGCCAATCTATAGATTGTAAGGCTAAGATCTCTTACCGCCACAGGTCACCTTTGATCAGTAGTCTAGATTAAATCTCTATAAGGATGGCTAACCCTAGAAGCCTTAACCTTAACCACAAGTCTATATATTATCTCATTGTCCCAAATCTCTACAACACAAAAGTCACATCTCTATCTCTTTAAATGTGGCACGCTACTCTCTTATCTATCTAGCTTCATCTCATCCCTCTCTCTCATTCTTACAAATTTTAGAGAATAGAAAAAGGGGCACACCCCACTCATATAGTACGGGGGGCCACGGCCATAGTTTGTTCCAGTGTTCTTAGTATTGCTTACGGGTTTCTAGCCATTGCTTCCTATAGTTGTCAGATTTAAGAAAGACCTTGATCACGTGTGTCATCGGAGGAGGAGACCTTAATGGAGTGTATCAAGTCCAATTGAGGTAATCTTTTGATACTTTATTTTTATTATTGCAATTTGTGTTTCTTATTCTCAAGTCATTGTTCATGTAATTTTCTTTATACAATATAGAGTTGTATTAAGTGGCAACAAGTGAGAATCTAAATTTATGTTTTTTCTTTGTTCTTTTGAGTTTATTTTGCAATATTTGGACTTTTGTGAGTGTTCTAGCCGGTTAAGTAAAAGAAAAAATATAAACACCACATAGCGTGTTAGTTCACCCTGCCCAACTTTCAAGGTGCATGTATGGATTCAACCATCTGTCCCACCAGTCCCTTAGAAATGGCTTTAAATAGGTTTTATGATATGATAAGTATGAAGGTTGATTAAGCATATCTAAATCATTGACCATATCCACTTATCTCTCACGATACGGTTTGAAATGTTAAACTCATATCCTTGTTTGAATTTGAAAGCACCTCCAGATGGCTTTAATGATTGCCTTGATACTTGAATTTAAGCAGGTAACTACCAAGATTAATCGCGATATTCCATGAAAAAATTAAGGAAAGTGGTTATTCCTTATTTATTGTTTACTAGTCTGCAGAACCGTTCCAACATGTTTGAGTATTTCTATTGTCGTTTTCTGATGATGAATCTTTTCACCATGAAATTATGTGCAGTGATAAACGACTTAGAGAAGAGAATAATTTTTAAAACTTGATCTTAAATGGATCACAGACGAGGGAAATATGATGTGGAATTGAACTTATTTATGCTGCAGATTGCAACAATAGATCTAAGAATTGCGAGCTCAATCGCTCGCATAATTGAGAATTATATACCCTTAAAGTATGATAATTTTGTAAAGGGGACTATGATGCACATATCCACAAAATTTAGCTCAAGATTCTCGATATATTAGGAAAAATCATGCAACGGCGGCCAAGCCTTTGCGTAGTTTTTGTAGTTATTATTTTGGGGCTTGACACTCTCACATGAGAGATCAATAGGATGTCACACTTACATGAATGATGGGGCATTGAGTCATAAATCCAATATTCTAGGTCCCATGAAAAAACTTCTTATAGATTGGGAGAAATCTCAAAAATAGTGACCGGGGGTCATCCTAGCTATCTGTCTGGCAGACAATATATAAGAATCTGGCTACTGACGAATATGAATGAGGGGTTAAGCCATCTTCAAATGACCTAAAACTTTGGATGCAGGATACTATGTCTCAAATATGATTTTTCAAGAGTTAGACCAATCCTTAAAATATCATGTTTGGGGCAATTAGTCAAGGTATATTATGGCTGCTGATGAATTATAAATGATGAATCAAATGATGTATAACTTGTATGATTCTTAGACTAAAGGCATATGAGGCCTCATTTAATATATATATGCAAAGGCTACCTCAATGTGATATCATATGACGAGGTTTATTTATGATCAGATTGTCATACTCTCCTTCTTTGGCAAACGATGAATTCAAGGACATATGACATCGTATCCAAACTCTTCCAATATTATGTGAAGAGACATATTATGGTCTTGAAGATATATGACCTAGAGCTTGTCTCAAATTGAGATGGCCAGATAGTCTTTTATGACCGATCATTAGCCAAGATACTTATATTTGACCAAAAATGGGTTTGATCACAATGTATCCGAACTCTTTTAATAATGTGTGGAAAGGTATATTATGGCCTCCAGGATATATGATCCAGATCTTTTCTCAAATTGAGATAGCTTGATTCCCTTTGCTATGATTGGTCGTTACCCAAGGTATATGAGTTGACCAATGACCAGGACACTTAAGGTATGTGGAGGCCCTCACATGATGAGTCCGCGACACATCATCTCTACTATCATATCAGGAGCATGCCTGACAAATACTTTCCAAAAATCATTTCCATTGGATTTGTATAGTAAGCCACCGTCTGCCAAGTGTTTACACTCGAAACTGTGGGCAAGGGACTTTACCCCTACCCTAGTTTCGGGTGCAAATAAATCAAGAGTTCGAAGAGTGTTGGTCCCATCAAATTATTTTTTGAGGGAGAATCGGGTCCTAAGACCATATCCCTCTTGGAACATCGGCAAAGCCAACTTCCCTATTATTTCGACCTTAGAACTCAACAAGAAAGCTTTTGAAAAGGGGTTTGGAGATAAACATAAGATTTTTAAAAGAAACGGATTAGAAAAAGAACAAGAAAGGATAATCACAAATAAACTATCAAACTAGAGAAATAGAAATATACAGAGATAAAGAATCTAACTATAAAATTCAATAAGAAAAGGCAAACAAAAAGCATGGAGACAAAGATATCTAGCACATGGCCTAAGCTAAATATGGATCATATAAAATGAGAGAGATAAGACTATAGAGATAAGGAAATGAATATGAAGAATAAAGAAAAGCAGATCTCTACTAGAGAGACAAAGAGATATAAATACGAGACAAAGAGATATAAAATGAAAATAAAAATAATAAACTAACATTAGACAGAAGAGATATAAAATGAAAATAAAAATAATAAAATAACATTAGACAAAAGAAATACGAGAGAAAGGAGGGAGATTACTACTATTAGATGATATGC